ATATATATATATATATATATACATATACTAGAACATATTGGAAATAAAATAAAAATAGAGATAAACTAATGGATTCACAACACGAGACATAATGTTCGATTTACACTTAATAATTGTAAGAATTTACCAGAGTCTTTAATTTGCATGCTTTCCAACGCACATTTATTTGCGCGCAAAGCTGTCTGGAGATAAGAACAAGCCAAAGTCGGTTTACCCATCGCAAGATGCAGACATGCCATATTGTTATAAAACAAAACATCTGAAGATTCTCCACATAATCTGTAAAAAAAATCATATATTAACACGATATTTTCGAGAATCGAGAGATAAAACTTTATCTACTTGAGACATTTTTGTTAATTTTAAACAATACAAAATAAAGTTATTTCTATATAAAGGCCTCAAAATATTCTATTACAAAACCCAAGAAATGCCGCATACAAAGCAATTAAAACCAAATTATTGTAAAGTGATTATAGGAATTGAAATAGATAATAACACTTTCTCAACAAAGATAGAAAGAGAAAGAAAAAATTGTATTATAGATTCTAATTTTTTTCACGGGTGTATACAGAGCAATTAAAAATATGATTGCATTTTTCATTTACATAAATCTCATTTCACATCTCTATCACTGTAACATTTTCTTTGATATAGCACTGTTATGTCATATTATATTCATAATATTTAAAAAATAAATGCGTCCAAGATAGATAGAATTATATCGTTTTAATTTGTATATCCCACATATACGAGTATTTACAAATTTTTTGCTTTGTCTCATGCATTTATATTTAACTTAATTAATGCATTGAACATACTTGAAATCTAAATTTTCTTTCATTTTCGAATTCAAAAATTGTATTGCCTTTTCATAATTTCCTCGTAAGTATTCCAGATTAGCCTTCAAGAAAATCGTCGATGTATTCTGAAAATAATAAAATAGCGCTTAATTGAAATGAAATATCTTTTACATAGCTCCAAAATAAATTTGATGATAGATATCGTATTTAATATCTCCAACGTCTCTTAAATGGAATAGAACATGTGTGCATGTATGTAAAATTATTTACAGATATAAGTTTTAGAATTATATAGCCATATAAGCATAATACGATGTACATTCTAATGGACACACAAGCAGAGATATTTATATTCTATTAGGAATTAAGTGAAATTAAATTTGCAATTTAATTGTATAATATCAAACTTGAAGATAAAAAATCAATATATATATATATGTATATAAACTTGAGATGTGGATAAAATGTATCAATTTATCTAAAAATCAAAATAAAGTTACTGCTAATTTGGATTGTGTGTGTGTGTGTGTGTG